CACACAGACACGCAGGCTCAGGCTCAGGTTCACACCATTAGCACAGACAAATGCAAGCTGGGTTTAGCCCAGTCTTTTCTGTTTCCTCTGGGCCCTGGGCAGTGTGTCACTGGAAGGTTGGGGTTGGGGATAGTACCCTCCATCAAGCCATTTCTACTCTGTTAGGCTCTAGCTAAGAAACCTGGTGAAACCAGAAAAGCCCTGCATCTCAGCTTCCCCCACCTTCTGACTGCGGTTAGATCATGCAAATGTCTGCAGTGGCATGGGGGTGGGTGGGTAGGGCATGATTTAGGCAAATTGTTAGCAGCCCTTGAAGGGGAGAGTAGAGAGAGCTTGGAAACAGCCCAGTCTGCATGGGTGAGCTCCATCCTGAGGAAAGGAGGTTGCAGGAGACCAATAAAAAGTCACCAACTATAATCAACACTCCTTCCTATAGTGAGCATTTATAGACCACCTCCTGCACATGCCGCAAGGTGACGGGAAATATAGAAGAGACACTTCACAGGTGACCATGAGGATCCTACTCTCTATTATGGGGACAGACATGGTATGAAAATATTGATAATCTAAAGCAGACAGTGTAACATAACAAAGGCAAGCCACACATGTGCCATGGAGGTTTTTTGTAGGACTCCAAACTGAGGCACCGTGGAAGAATCTTGTGACTGGGTCTTGAAGGACGGGGCAGGTTTTGACATTTGGAAAGCAACACTAGGGGAGAGGGCAGAGAGAAATGAAAGGAGGAAACAGCTCAAAAAGCATGGAGTCAGCGAAGGGTCAAGCCTTACATTTCCCCACTAAGCAGATACTCATGGGCTGCCTAGGGGCCCAGAGTGCAAGATAGAAACTGCTCTCTTCTTGGACTGGAAAGGACATGACAAAGTGAACTCACAACCAGATGAAGAGGCTCCAGTGCAGCTTCCAGTGCAGAAGTAAAGTGTGTTGGCCAGAGAGCTGAGGAGCCCATTGAGCGATATCCCTTGACCCTTGAGCCCTGAGCCCAGTGACACAGTCTCTGGACCCTTCTGCCTTGACAGTCTCCAGAGGACTCTCTTGCCCTCTTTAGGCCTCAGTCAATCTGGTTGCAGACCCCTAAGCCTCTTTGCCATCATCCACCCACACTACCATTTGCTTCTCTCCCTACAAGGGTGAGATGTCTAGATCTGCAGCTACCACCCCAGCTAAGAGTGAGGGACACAGGTGGCAGGCTGACCTGACTCCTAAGGACTCTTTCTTCCAAGGACAGTAGCTATCTTGGGGTCCCAGGCTCATTCCCCAAGCCTCAGTCAATTCTGGATTGGAGTTTCCTGACTCTGTCCTATATATGGAGTCTTTGCCAGCTAAGCATGGCAGCCATGTTCTGAAGGCATCAGCTTTGGCTACACAAGTCCTCATCTCATGCAGCCTGGGGACCTGCAGCTGCCACATCTACTCCCAGGAGGGGAGATAGCTCAAGACTTTGTCCTACATATAAGCAACTGAGGGTGCGAGGCAAGTGATTGATGGCGAGGTCAAGGAGATGCTATTTTTGTTTTGTCCATATGAAGAGGATACTGAAGGTTTCAGGAAGGGATGGGACAGTTGAAAGAGAAGGTAGAGGGAGAAGAGGAAGCATTTTAGATAAAGAAGAGAATCAGTCAAAGAGGGAAATAAACAGTTAAGCAGAGAGTGCGGAAGCTGGCCAGGGCGGGAGGAGGGTTTCAAGGCGCTTAGCTAAATCCCCAGAATTTCTGGGAGACTCAAGAGGAGGAGGCCTGGGAAACTCTTGATTGTTGGCAAGTGTCAGGACAGCGATTGCTCACTCAGGGAGGCGGTCCAGGCCAAGCAGATCAGGGGTTCAGTAGGAGTTATATGAATTCCCAGGCCATCATCCTTCCCAGAGTTAGAGAGGAAGGCTAAGGGCTGAGCCTGCCCCAGGTTATGATACTGATATGGGACTGACCATTCACATCCCTGTGTGAGGAAGATTCTGGAACTGAGGACCACAGAGAAATGGAGAAATTATAGCTATACTGAATGCTTTCACTCTGGAGAGTCTTATGGAAAATGAAGGAGCTCTCTGCTGAGTGCCCAAAACTTCTCCTTCCTATGCTTCATTGTTTTTTTCCAAAGAGGCTGAAGGTGGGAATGGGAAGGATATCCCTAAAGGTCTAGAGAAGATCATCACCTATGGAGCCCTCCTCTGGAGTTCTCTGAGTGCCTGACTTTGCACCCAGCCCTTCACAGGCTCTTCCCATCATCCTTACAACAGCCCAAGAGGAAGGCTTTACGATTCTCATCACTTCACAGACAAGGGGTTGAAGCCCCTGGCTAGTATGAGATCAAGTCCCTGGCTAGGTTGCTCTCCGCCATGTGGGACACAGCTTGACCTGGGCTGTAGATGTGGCTCCATGGTAGAGAGCTTACCCAGTATATATTAGTAAGCCTGGAGTTCTCTCCCCACCACTGCAGAAGAAAGGAAGGATGGAAGGGAGGGATGGAGGAA